CTGCTTCTTTTCAGAGTAGGGTGATTTTTCATATTCCTTTGTCTTGATGTGTAGGGTTCTGGCTGGGATTTCTAGTAACAACTTTCCATGGAAAGTTTGATCATCTTTACTGCTGGCAACAGATGAGATCCAAAAATGTGTTTTGGATCTTGTTTTGAAAGCATTAGGGGGCTCTGTAGCATAGTGTTAAATGGACCTAGCATGTGTGAAACCTGGAAAATTTCAGTAAGGCATTGAATATAATCATCTAGCTTGTACATAGAAAAGAAGATGCCTGTAATGTGGGCAAGTGTGTGGTCGTGTAGGAGGTGTAGCATGAGAAATCTGAGTGTCTCAACATTGTTATACTGGGGCAGGGAGGAGTTTAATAGCTGGATCCTTAGAAACTAGCTATAGTGATGGTGGGTTAGCCTTAGAACAGGAAGCTGAAAGCCAGACACTGTACTTGAGCTGTAGGGCTCAAAGAAGCATTGCTATTTGAGGCCTTTTCTTGGTGTGCCTGTGCTCGGTTGATGTTTTCCACACACATCCTCAGCGCTTCCATAGAAGCTGCAGACAAATCCCACATGGTTACATTACAAGATAATAAACAAGAGTGGACGCCTCTTAGACATGGGAGCAACACTCCCTTCCCGAGTCTGTAGAATTTAGAACAGCCTCTCTGATTTACAGAGGTTTCAGGTCTGGAAGACTACCTTGGTTTGAACATTAGAAGGCAGCAGCGATCATCTTATGGCAGCAACAAGCTCTGTGTCCCTGCGTAATAATGGCATATTGCTGCATTTCTTCAGAGAATTGCGGCACTGTCTGCCAGCTCCCCAGACACAGATTCCATCATTTGGGAAGCCAGCCAAGTTGCCTTCCTTGGAAAGCCACACAGATGTGAATTGTAATAGCCCAGGAACTTACACATTTGAACTGAGCTTATTGATTAAGAGGATGCTGTCATTCACTCCCCTCCCCTTACATTGTCTGCTACATTTCCTGGAAAGCTCGATGCTATCACCTCTTTCTCTGCCATTTTTTTTGTGTCCTTTTGCAGCTGGCACGTGGTGATTTATAGAAACCTCCGTGCTTGGGAATACTTACTTCCCGCCTCATTTAAACAAATGAGACAATCTGCATGTCTTCTTCCTCAGATGAGACTGGCTCTGCTCCCTTGTGTTTTGACAGGATGGCTAGAGTTTATTTCCCATGGCAGAAATGATCTCTGTCATCTCCCCTGCAGAGAAACACTGGGACATGTAAGTTGTCCTTCTTGGTCTAGGTACAGAGAGCTTTGCTCTTCTCCTAAATCAGTGGTTTGATTAGAACTTCTGAACTTTACATTCCTGCTGCCGTATTTGGGGGACGTTTGTTGTCTTATGTATGATGCTGCTATTCACATTGCAAAACCTCTCTTCTGCAAGGAGCTGATTGGCCAGTTCTGATTTTGTTCTTCCCACTTGAAATTTTCTTATTTGCCCTGCTCTTTTTCCTTTTGTCCTTTACATCAATCTTTTATTTTTCCAATTTGGAGTCCTCTGTAAAGTCCTCCAGGTTAGAACAGTGGTTCTCAACCTTGCAGACTCAAGGCATCCCTCAGAAAAATACCAGCTCTTTATTTTCATTTGTGTGGTTTTTTTGGGGGGGGGGGTTTACTACAGCAAAATAATAGAGCAATTCTTCTCTCACACAGAGCTTGGACTGCAATAGGTCCCACTGTTTTTAACGGTATGAATTCCTATTTGAAATCTCTGGGTTTATCTTGTGAATCATATTGGCATGCTGAACAGTGCCAACATTGTGTGGTACCCCACAGCACTCTTGAAAGGATCTCAAAACACCCCAGGCTGCTGTGTCACCCTGACTGAGAATTGCTCAGTTAGAGTGAGTTAAGAGATAACAAAACATGTCTACACACAGACTTTCTGCAGTTTAACTAAATATGATGTTTCTAAAATCAAATGAAACCTGACTAGCTTCAGTTCAGCTTGCATCAGGAAATGGACAGGCCCAAGCATAAACCAAGAGAAACTGTTTCCAGCCAACATAAGTATGTTAACACAGAGGTTTTACCAATTTCCCTAAATTGACTTTTCAACTGATTTGAATGAAGTGGGTATAGACCTGCATCTAGGCAAGGCCTTAGGCTAATTGTTGGTTCCTCGTGACTTAGCCACCCTGATCCCAGAGTTGTCTGAGATGTGAAATGTGAAGCAAATGGGTAGAACAGTGCTGACTGCTTGTTTCTTCATTGATTGTTGTAGGACTCCGACGGTTTTGAGCCTAAAAGCTCTGAGGTGGTGAAGAAGCCAAAGGTGGCTGCTCAGCAAATGAGCAAGAAACCCAAGAAGGAAACTAAGAAAAAGCGATAAAAGGCCTCAGAATGGAGCCTAATGGCAACGTTTTGGCTGTAATCAAGTTTCCTTGAAGATGACATCATGGGTCAACCAATTAAATGGGTGTCTGGTCCTGCCATGTTATGTCTTCCAGGGGTAGGGGGAACTGACAAGTTGTGGGAGGGTTGGGTTTCTTTTGCTTGATTCCTTGCAGGCAAAATGGACTGTACACATCCAGCTAGTTACTCGGTCATAAGCCCTGTGATCAACTCACTTGTGATGGGTAAGGAAAGCTTACACTTGCACCTCCCCCATGCTGGCAGGGGTGTGAGGTGAAGAAGGCCCATGGAAGGGGAGCATGTGTTTGGTTATCAAAGATAGCTTTTTTCTGTCATATTTTTAAAGACTGAGGGATCAACTGGCTCTGGGATGTCCCACTTCTCAACTCTGTAACCTCCTGTATTGTTGTCTCATTTAAAATATACCAGTTTATTTTATGGCTTAATAATAATGGGCTTGTCATGTCCTTTTAAAAAATAATTGTCTTTGTTTAAACACTGCTCTGAGGCCAGGCTTCCTCTGGATGGAAGTCTTCTCTTCCCCACCATCATGGCCCCTCTGATCATTCTGCTGTATCACACCTAATCCCGTGCTAATCCAGTCGCCTCCCCCTGCTGTTCCGAACTCTGGAAGAAATATGAAGACAGATGAGAGGAGGAGACCAAGTACAAGAGCAGTTTGTGGTCAGAGGGGCTGTATGAATGCAGGCACTTGGTGGCTGCTGAACTCTGGGAGATGGAGGGGTGATGTGCTGTACTAGAGGAGCAATCTTGGGAGACAGAGACAGGACGCTGCATGTTGGGGAATGCCCATCCTGGGATGTCAGTTTCAGAGTATTGCCACTGCATTCCTGAATTCTCCATACCATGCCATTAAATTCTGCCAGCAAAGCATGATGAGTACTGCCTTAGCCTTCTAAACTCCAGCGTGGGCATGCAGTTAGTATGCTGAGTTTATAGCTGCCTCCCAGCTTTACCTGGCACCATCTCGTGTCTCCTTTCTGTGAATCTGGGCTGAAGTTGACAATCATCTCGCCCTGAGGAGAGGAGGCATTTTAAAATCCAGAGCACAATAAGATCACTGCATAGCACAGTGGAGATGTCTGCGGCTGTGTAGCCCCACTCCTTCAGTCTCCTGCTCTCCAGTGTTAGTATGAAGCCAAGCACTTAACATTAAATTTATATGTGGCTAGACAGGTTACTTTACAGGATTGGGACAGAGAGGTTGAGATGTGGTGGCAAAGTCTGTAGGGCAGCACTAGACTCCTGATGCCAGCTCCCATCCCATCCCTGCATGCTCAATTTCTAGTGAGTCAGTGGAAGGGCAGCCTGCTGTTTAAATGCACCCAGAGCAAAGTATGCTGTGTTTTGTCACTGAAGGCCCCAGTCCTGCAATCAGAGTCAGATCCCTGCTACCAGGCAGCACCTCTGTCAAGTCAGTGAAACCAGGGGTCTGCCCCACAGCCAATGGCAGGGTCAGTACCTGGGAACAGGTAGCAGATGCTTTGCTGCATTCGTTTTTCAGTATCAGCAAAACACCACATTTTCACTCTGTAACTCCAGTGTTGAGGAATCAGGCTGGACCTCTTGTTCCTCTTCCGGTTTGGTGGGTGAGGGGGGCCCAGTACCAATTTGATTTGAACTTCTGACCACTGCCCAGCTCTGCTGTAGGTAATGCCCCAGGCTTTTTCTGCTTGCCCAGAATTCTGGTGTCTGCAATTGCTGGGAACACACTGAGCTCTGGTTGAAACCTAGGTTGGAGAACCCTTTAAAACCAATTCTTCGTAGAGTAGAGAATGACATGCTGAAGCTCCCAGCAGCCCCGCAGTACAATTCCATACCTAGTTTGATCTCTTCCCATGAAAAAATGGTTATGAAACTTTCCCCTGACAAATGAGAATGATGTTTGATAGGCTGGGAAAGTCTGTTCTCTATTCCTGGCCAGAGACTGGAGGGCAATTAAAATAATTGTTGCTGTCCTAGCAGACATGTTATGGACAGGTTGTGCCATTCAGTGTGAAATAAGGACAATCAATCACTCATGGTCCTGTCTCAGTAAAGCATGACTTTTCCACAGGACTTGAGTTGGGCTGTTACCTTGTTATAAGAGAATTGCAAAGTATTGCAACATGTAAATTAACAGAAAAGCAGAATGCAAATTAACAGAAAAGCAGAGGCTAAACAGTATAGTGGTAAGGGGGGGAAGGGGAGGCATGGTAACCCCAGGCTTCTACCTCCATCCCTCATTTTACCAGCATCCACAGGTGTTTAATTATTCTAATCAGGAATCCTGGATATTTAATTTGTTTTTAAATGGGTAAGTTTCCAATAAGTTCCTTAGTGTAACAAGTCACCTTTCCCAACCTTTGTGTAGAGCTCAACTGTACCAAATGTATTTTACCTTCTCTTGAAATACAACTATAATCAGACAACTAGTAAACTGCAATGACAGTCTGTTTAAAAACATTCTGCTGCCTCCCCTTGAGCTTTGCGTGGAAACAACCCCTAGCTTTGGGGAAGTGAGAAAAGACATAAATAATGCTGGCCATAAAAAATTATCTGATTGAGAAGAAGGCTTCCTGAATTGATACAGTCAAACACTAGGTAGGTTTGCGTTTGACGCCTTTTGAAAAGTAGAAAGAAGCCATCCCACAATAAGCCTTCACCCTCCCCCAAGGAGGGAAATGATGCCGTGACTAAATTAATTTGCTTCTTCTGGGATGCTTTTGCTGAGAGAGCTCTAGGGAAGGTAGCAATAATGAAAACACTACTTGCTAATGACACTCACAGGGGATTGGATGGCTCAATAGATTGATAATGGGGATTTTTGCCCAGAGCTTCTCAGTTTGAATCTCTCCCAGGTTAATAGTGGCTGAAGGATAGGACTGTTTGGTCTCTGCTCTTTGGTCTGGAGGAAAATAAGTGGTGTATCCAAGGTTCTTGTGCCCATCTCACTTGGTACCTCAGTAGAAAAGCCCAGAAGAGAGAGGATAGTAGGAATCCTGCATCTGTGGTAACTCATTCAAGCCCCAAGCTCATCTCTTGAGCTACTTTTGTCATTAATGTCCCAACAGACCTGAGGGTCGGTATAAGTCACTTTTACTTAAGGGAAATTTTCCTACTTGCCCTCAGACACGGGCATTAATCCAGAAGTTTGACTCCGGCTCTCTGCCTCTGGAGAGAGCCCTAGTGAGTATGAGAATGGCCAGTCAGCCTAGAGCTAAGGCTTCCTTCTGCTAAATTACTGTTCCCGACTTCCTGTTGCTCCAGAGGCCAGGTGGGTGGTTTGAAGAAACACATCTGCATTCATTAGGAGGGTTTAGGGAGCCCCTCTATTGTATTTGGGTAAATCCCACCTCTCCTGCTCCCCTCCTCTCAGAGCACCAGTGATTGCTGCCCTGAGTGGCATTTACACTAATAATGCATCCTTGTGCTCCTCCAGAACAAGGAGCACAATCCCTTGAGGCAGCTCTTAAGTAGCTCGTGACCAAAGTCCCAGTTCCTACAGTTCAATTAAATCCCTATTAATCTCATTCAGACCTCATTTACTTTCATTCTGATGCACACACTTCTGTCTGCTTCAGAGACATCCAAGCGAGGTTCCTCCCTGCTAGGAAACAAAGCGCCTCAGGCCATCTTTGAGAGGTAATGTCTGCCTGGCTCCTTCCCCCACCTGAGCGCATAGCTTTGGATTATTTTCCAGCCTGCTTTTCCACCTCTAGGAGTGTAAAGGTGCCTGTATTACTGGGAGACTCCAGGCTGGGGGTGCTGTGCATGAGAAAGCAAGGGCACCTTGGAAATTGTGCAGGGAAGAGATCTGTTTGGTGTTCTTGTCTCTCATGCTCCTGAATTGTTCCTTCATGTCTATTCACTAATGAGTTACCCACCAGTCTAGGTGGAAATGTCCTGTGTGAGGAGGCTCCAAACTGTTCAAAGTTTCCCCTGATAACCATCAGCTAAGTTTCCCTTGGTTTCTTTCTTCCTGTTTAACTCTGGGCACAACCTTAATGAACTCAAGCCACCCTTCAGATGTATGCAACCTACTACAACGCCCCTGACCTGCCAGCTCATTGTTATCACTTAGCCCGGACTTTACTCAGAGGTTCAAACCTTGCCTCCCTCCCTTACCTTGAGTAGCACCCAACTTTTCAAACAGTCCCATTGGTTTAAAGGGGGTGTCCACTGCAGTAAGGTATTGCCCAGGAAGTGTAAGAGCAGTACTATTCAGACCTTTCATCTGTCTGTGTAAATCAGCCTCTGGACAATTGCCATTAGCCATATGGATGAACTGCTGGAGAACAAGCGCTCTCTGCCTTCGGAACCCAAGTCACAAAGGGTTACAATAACAGGGTACTAAAAAATGGCCAGTGTTGGCGGAGTGCCACAGTGACCACATTTGACACCCTCTATTCTAGTCCAGTTCCTAAATTATGACTCCCAGCCCAGGCACACAGCCCCATTCATTTGCCACCTCTGAGCCTTTCTGACCTCATTTACTCCCACAGGCACGGAAGCTTTATGCAACCCAGTCCCAGTGGCTGGAACACCCACAGATCATGTGGATTCTCAGCACCTCTGACAATCAGGTGGCAAAGCCTCGATAAGTACCAATAGCAAAGGGGTGGCTGTGGGTGGCTGAGCTGAGTGCAGTCCAGCCATTCTCATCTCATACTAATGCCCTGGGTGGAGAATCCTAGCATGTAAATTGGTTTCTTCTCTGCTCTACAACCTGTTGCTCTGTCCTGATACCCTCCATCCAATACAGAACAGCTCTGTCTTCAAGGCAGCTATGTTTCTCCCCACTAGAAACAGTTTTGGACTCAGTGCTGTCTCCCCCACCATGTGGAGTTCCCAAGGGTGGGAAGGGGTTGTATCTTCAATGCAAATTATATGTGAGCTCTGAGCAAGTCCTTACCTTGGTTGTTTCATGCCCCAGGCTTAAATACACTAGGAGTCCTATTTGCATATGAAATGTAGCATTTCTTCATTATTAAACTCCCCTTGGGCCCCTTGCACCTTCCACCAACAAAGTGCTGTTTCCATATCTTGTTAAAGCTCATGCCCCCACCGTGCGAGCTATATGACTTGTGCTAGATTCCCAAAGGCATTGTCCATACTGGGGTCAGAACCCAAGAGCCCTGGTTCCTGGTCCTATTCCTAAACCATGACCCTCTCCAGAACTGGAGTGCTGTTGACCTCTGATTTGGCTTTGGGGAAGTCCATTCTAAACACCTATCTTACAACATGCACCTAAGTGCAAAGAATGAAGTAAGAGCAGTATGTAGTTACAGTACACGGCCGCTCCCTTTACTTAGCAAGCCAACTAACAGTGACTCAGGTCCTGACTCCTGAGTTCCTGCTGATATCTCTTCATTTGCTCTGTTGGTACAGTCAGTCAGCTGTCACACGTCTGTCCAGGGCCTGCTGAAACGTGTTCCTCTCGCTGTCA